AGCAAGCCATTAAGTGTGGAGATTCCTGATTGGTTGACTGCTGTATCTAGTTTATGTTAATTAGATAAGCTGTGTGAAATGTATAAATACCGCTCCTGTCCTACAATAAACGGCTCCTACTCCTGCTGTATCAACGTACACAAGTTGCTTGTCACCCCCCGGTTAGTTTGCCCAGCCAGACGGGCTGTGGCACTGTACTTTGTGTATAATCAGAGATTTGAAAAATTGTGCTCTAGATGTGTACTATGAATTGCAATGCATTCTGCTGTCATATATAACAAATTAGAATGAAAAAAGAATAGGGGGCTGGGGTTGTGGCTTGGTGGTAGAGCACTTGCCTAGCATGTGTGAGATACTGGGTTTGATTCTCAGCACCACATATAAATAAATGAATAAAATAAAGGTCCATCAATGTCTAAAACAATATTTTAAAAAAAGAATAAAAAAGAATAATTCAACTAATAAAACAAAACAAACAACAACAGCAAAAAACCACTCCCTCCCACCCACCTTCTAAAGGAAGTCCTATAAATCTCGGTTCATTACAACTCAAGATCAGGCATCAGAGGCTGCAGGACACAAGTGCCAGAGGGGCTGTAGTTGGTTCCACATCTCAGGGTGGGGCAAAGGCAGCTCTCCTCAGCAGGGATGAAGCAGTGACAAACTATCTCTGGTGACCTGTGGGGGACAGCTGATATGTCCATTAAAGTTGAGCAGCTGGGGCACTTAGTTGCTGCTGATTACAGGAGCTCAATGAGTAAGGAGATACAAGAATAGTGGAACTCGCTAGGTATGTTTATGGCGCTTTAGGAAAGCAATGGGTATTAGTCCTATGTTGCCTGGCTGGAGGCAGTAAAGAAAGTAGAGGGAACCACCCATGCTGGGAATTCTTGGCACAATTTTAGGTCCCTGTTTGACAAAGACTGGGATCCAAACAACTGGAATGGAAGTGGCTGGCAAGAGTCCAGGAAGCTAAGAATGCCTGACGAATCTGCCTATTTGAAGCACTTTGCTCCCAGTATTCCTTTCCCCTGGGGAAACCAAACAACCCACCCCAATATTCAGCATGATCTGTGACCAAGATTCAAATGTGGCTCAAGTCTTGGGATGACAATCAGAACTAGTAGAGGAAGATGATCAGTTAGGCCTAAAATGAATTATAGGAATTATCCATGTCATACTAGAAAAAGTCAGGAAAGGCTATGCATAGATTTGCAAGTGTTTGACAAGGAACAAACGTACAGATTTGGATCATGCAGAACCAGTTGCTATGGTGAGGCTTCATCTGAGACTCGGTGTATGATGTGCTACTGCAGGATGAACAGTGAATGGCTGGCTGGAGTGGCTGATTCCAACCTGAGCCCAGGGCTGACCTGTGCTGTCTGGCAAGAAAGAGGTGATGCCTAATGGAAAGACAAAGAAGCAGAGACAGAAGGAGCAACTGAGAGGCTACAGGATAACATGGTCCTACAGAGCTGCCTTGAAACCTGAATGGCCGCATTTCCTGGGTTTCCAGGAGATTCTAAACATGGTGTCCGTCCCATCATTCATGACCTTATGGATCTGAAGGGAATTTAGAGCTGATTAGCACATTAAAAGAGAGATGAGAAAATGGAGGACCACAGGAATCCTGCTTTTTATTGTTTCCTTTGGTGATTCTTTTCCTCACCATTTAACTGGATATTCTTGAATAATCTGCCCCCTTTCTCCCTCTAGATTAATAATTTCTGCCTCAAATTGTAAGTGATCTGCTCTTACATTTTAATCCTACGTGAAGTCCTTTCTACTCTGTAGTATCAGAATTCCAATTATGTATGGAAGGAATACTTGTCAGTTTTACCCATCATGAAACTCAGCTTGCAAACTTGAAATTGCTTTCCTCCTCCCCTCCCAGCCTCTCCAGCACCATTATTATTATCGTTATAATTATTATTATTTGCTTAGGGCCTCGCTAAGCTGCTGAGGCTGGCTTTGAACTTGTGATCCTCTTGCCTCAGCTTCTTGAGCTGCTGGGATTTCAGCTGTGTGCCACTGTGCCTGGCCTTAAAAGGTTCTTTATCTTAAACTTTGTTTTTAATTTGAAACTATTTCAATTGTGTAGAAAAGTCTAAAGAACAATATAGCAAACATCATTGTCCCTATCATTCAGACTTAATGTTTTGCCATATTTGCTTCCGCTTAAGAAAAATACAGATATAGTTGGAAGTCCCCTCTCCCATCCAAATCACTCCCTCCTTGGAGCTTGCACTCTTCTGACATTAGTTCCTTCCAGAAGCAGACCCTAAGGAGCCAGCTGATGAGTTTGAGAGGCTGATGTGGGAAGTGCAAGGACAGTGACAAGGGAAAGGGAGGTGGCTCAGGGAGCCGAGGACATGGGCTTTGGGCTGCTGCAGGGTAGCTCTGGGGAATTATCTTGGCCAGTGAGTATGGAGCGGGAGCACCACACTCCTGCCCTGACTCACTGTGTGGCTGGGCACCCAGCCTTTCTGTGGGAGGGCAGCTTGGGTGCTGGCCGAGGGCTGCCTTCTACAGAGACATTGGGCTGCTGGAAATCAGGCTGCATGCACAGAAATGGCACAGGAATATGAAGGAGGGTGACGGAGCTCTGAGAGCACTTGCATCAAAGTGCCCTATCCCACCAACACCACATTTACTAGAGTACTTAAGTATTATTTTAATGATATTTTATGTTATTAGTGTAATTAGAGATAGTGATGATGACGATAGTGGTGGTGACAGGAAACAGTGACTATTAGTACAAACCAGTCAAGGTGAAAAAGGAAGATCATTTTGGAAAATAATTTTAGTTCAAAATATTGTTCAACTATTCATTGAATTTATATCATGTGCCTGATGGATTTCTCCCTAACAGAAATGCAGGGGAAATAAATAAAACTCATACCACAATTTATTTTTCTTTGACTTCACGCTTCATGAGACTTTGACACAATATGGGTTGTTTCCCTTGCCCTCCTCCATCTCCCGCCCTGAGACTGCAGGTTATTGGGCTTACCCAGGGTTGGGCTGTAAGAACACAGTCTTTGCCAAGAAGACTACACACAGTCAAGCACCTCGAAAAGTCATCTTCTTCTTGGCTGCAACCCCCTGGCCGCCTATTAACAAGGAGCAGGGTGCATGTGGAAGGGTTGGGGGGAGGGTGATACAACAAGGGCGTGTCCCAGACCCCCACCAGGGCCTTCTGTCATTCAGCGAAGCCAGGAATAGTTTGACTTCTTTGTTTCTTATGACCGAAAGACCCCTGGTATACCAAAATAAAACTACAGAACAGTAATGTTTCCTGTTCCCTTTTGCAGGGATCAAAGGAATTTAAAATGCTCTCCATACACTCTTTATAGATCTTAGCACTGGACAAACCGACTTCCTCTGTTAAACTAGAAGACAGAGAAATCACCTGACATATGAACAGATCCAGGAGTCCTGTAGGATCTTTCTGAAGAACCAGAATAGTTATGAAAACAACGAACCCAACAATCTCATACTGAGATTCAAGGCAAAAATTCCATGTTCAGATAAAAAATGATTTTATAATTTGAAAACCCTCAGGATACAGTGAACAATAGTGGGTTTGGACCAGAGACCTCACAATCGGCAAACAGGGGCATATAAACTATGTTGGTGAGAACTTTCAGAAGCCGCTTATGTTTTATATTTTAAAGAGCAGTAATATTTTCACAAAGTAATTCCCTGCTGTTTTTCTATTTGATTCCATTTCCATAAAAAAAACCAAGCCTTTTAAAAATAAGAAAACATATTATGCACCAGCACAATCAAGCAGTAAGTAGAATTAGTAATAAAGATCCCGCAGATCCATAGTCCTTACACTTTTTATAAAATGCCTTTGTTAATCCACTGGGAACTTTGGATCATGCCTATGGAAAATTGAGCATTTGTATAAAATGCAAGATTGGAGTAAAATGTCAGGAACACAAAGGCAACAGCTCCCTGGGGCTCCAGAGAGCAGAGGGGGCAGTCTGTGGGCCTACAGGTGGCCCATGAGCACCGTCGTGGAGAGCACAGAGTACTTACATTGTACAGAGGGATGGTCTTCATCACCTTGTACTGTTTAGTGGGATCCATTTTATACAGGTGACGGTCAGTGACAAAAATGGCTCGGTCTTCCACCTTACTAAATCGATTCACCTGTAGGAAAACAAACCAATACAGCATAGTATGTCACCAAGAATCAAATCAAGCTATCCGTGTGGAAACGTCAAGGGGGCAGAGGTGACTAACCGTGAAGATAAACCCTTTAACAGATGGGTATCATGTGTGGCCACTCCACGGGATGCAACAGGGAACGCAAAAGAGATGCATGGAATTTAGCAACTGAAGATTTACAGTGTAACAGGGAAGACAAGAGAAACACAGAATTCAAAGACTAAAAATATATAAACCCAGATACCATCAACAAGATGAAAAAACAAACCCACGGAAGTGGAGAAAATTTTTGCAAATCATTTAACTGATAAGGGACTTCTATGTAGAATAAACAAAAAGCAAATATAGTCCAATAATTAGAAGACAGCCTAATTTACATAAAGCAATGACATGAAGCCCTTGGTTATAATATGAAGTGGAGACCAGTATAAGGGGGTAAGATGAATTAGAGACTAATAAGTGAAAATAAATTCATATGATAATATAAAGAAAATAAAACTAGATAATGAGATTGGGAGAAAATATAAATGTGTGAGTATATATGTATGTGTGTTCTTCTGTAGGGTGCTAGGTTATTAGATAGAGGGTCAGCGAATGCCCCCATCTGCAGGCAAATCTTTTCCTAAGAGTCGAAACTAACCACAGGACATTTTAACTTGTTTCAAACTTAGACTAAGCAGTTGTATTTTAAATGAGGTACCTAGCACTAAAAATGCCACCTAATAACACTGAAATGCCAAGTTTCTCAGTGAGTAGAAGGAAAAGCAAACAAAACAAAATCAGGCAAAAACAAACAGCCCTCCCCTAGCTGACCAGGAGACGGAGCTGTGGTGTAGCATCCCCTGCCCTCCTCCTAAATCCTTACTTCCAAGATGCCAACAAGGAAGTTGGAGATTGACTTGAAAACACAGCGCACTACAGTGAGAACTC